ATAAACTTTCCTTTCCATTGGGTACCTAATAGAGAAGTTAATTCCATTAATTAACATTAGGTAGGGCTTCCCTATAATAGCTCAGCTGGTAAAGCTCCTGCCTTCAATGCAGGAGACCCCAGTTCGATTCCTGGGTCGGGAAGATCCTCTGGAGACGGGATAGGCTCCCCACTCCCAATATTCTTGGGCTTTCCTGGTGACTCAGACAATAAAGAATCCACCTGCAGTGCGGGAGACCAGGCTTAGATCCCCGGGTTGGGGAGATCCCCAGGAGGAGAGCCTGGCAACCCACTCCAGTATTCCTTCCTGGAGAATCTCATGAACAGAGGAGCCTGGCGGGCTATAGTCTGTGGGGTCACAAAGAATCAGACACAACTGAGTGACTGAACAACAACAAAAAATAGCTGATTTACAATATTACATTTCCTTTTACCTTGTTTCTAGAAAGAGATAGTTGCTTGCAGTATTATGATAAAAACACAGCTCGTGTCTTTCTATAGCGTTCCTCTTCTTCAGTCACCCACCTTGCCTCTGAACAGAATAATTGCTGCTGATCTTCTTGTCCACAGTGTGAAAGTTTGGTTTTGCCTATTATTCTGTTTTTCTAGCCCACTCCTATTTTCTGCTCTGCCCTAAAGAGTGGATATATGTTTAAGTGTAACCGATTTACTTTGCTGTACGGCAGAAACTTAACAACATTGTAAATCAACTGTACTCCAGTAAAAATTATTTAAAATATAAAAATGAAGATAGAAATAGAAAAAAAAATCAAATAGAGGTTATGTAAATTGCTAGGATTTGTGATACTGTGACCATTCATGTACCTCCAGCCATTCAAAGAAAAAATGTTTATAATTATCTTTGAAATACTCTGTATGCCTTTCCTGACCCCATCTACTTCCCTCTCCCATCAAAGGTAGTAATTATCCTTGTGCTTATCTTTTTCTTTTTAGCTTTAGTGCGTATTTATTCCTAAGCAATATATTGAAACTATGTAGATGGAAACTATTACATAAGAGAGAGTATGTATATCCTTCTGCTACTTGCTTTTTATAAGGATACGTCAGGGGTTTTTTAAGCCATTCTACTGTTTGTGGACACTTTAGCTGTTATTTTGCTATTATACATAGAACTGCCATGAATATTTTTATACATGTTTTTAAATAAACATGTAATTTTCCCTAGGGTAATTACCTAAGAGTGGAATTACTGAGTTATAGGAAACGCACATTCTCAGCTTTATTAGATAATGCCCAAAATGGTGATACTAATTTATGTTCCTGTTATTAGGGTATAAGAATTCAAGTTACTCCATGTTCTCTGATATATATTTAATATATCAAAATGGTACATGTTTTATTGGGAGGAAAAGTAAAGAAGGAGAGGGAATGTTGTCTTACTGTGCTCAGAGCCATAGCAGATTAGAGACTAAGGGGATGAAGTATAATCAGGAAGCTCTGGGCTCCATGTGGTGATTGACATGAACAGAGGTACAGGTTTGATGGGATTGGTTTGTCCTCATATTTTCAAGCAGATAATGGTAGTGAAATTGTGAGGGCGAGAAGGTTTGAGAATCTTTCCAGGAGTATTTTGGGGAAGGCCTCTTCACTGTTTGGTGATAAGGCTGGGAATGAGTTAGGAGGCTGGTAATATGTGATCTTGTTCTGATCATTTAGTGTTTTGGAGACCCCTTTTCACTCCCTTCTTATCTGTAGTGGTTTGGAGGACCAGGGGAGGGTCGGTTTTGTCTGGAACATATGGAACACTAGAGTTCTCTTGGTTCAAGAATACTTGGAGCTCTCATTTCAGTTCAGTCGCTCAGTCGTGTCTGACTCTTTGTGATCCCATGGACTGCAGCACTCTAGGCCTCCCTATCCATCACAACTCCTAGAGTTTACTCAAACTCGTGTCCGTTGAGTCAGCAATGCCATCCAGCCATATCATCCTGTGTCGTCCCCGTTTCCTCCTGCCTTCCATCTTTCCCAGTATCAGGGTCTTTTCAGATGAGTCAGTTCTTCTCGTTAGGGGGCCAAAGTATTGGAGTTTAGCTTCAGCATCAGTCCTTCCAATGAATATTCAGGACTGATTTCCTTTAAAATGGACTGGTTGGATCTCCATGCAGTCCAGGGGACTCTCAAGAGTCTTCTCCAACACCACAGTTCAAAAGTACCAATTCTTCAGTGCTCAGCTTGCTTTATAATCCAACTCTCACATCCATACATGACCACTGGAAAAACCATAGCTTTGACTAAACGGACCGTTCTTGGTAAAGTAACGTCTCTGCTTTTTAATATGCTGTCTAGGTTGGCCATAACTTTTCTTTCAAGGAGTAAGCGTCTTTTAATTTCATGGCTTCAGTTACTATCTGCGGTGATTTTGGAGCCCAGAAAAATAAAGTCTCTCTCTGTTTTCATTGTTTCCCCATCTGTTTGCCATAAAGTGATGGGACCGGAGGCCATGATCTTAGTTTTCTGAATGCTGAGTTTTAAGCCAACTTTTTCACTATCATCAAGAGGCTCTGTAGTTCTTCGCTTTCTGCCATAGGGGTGGTGTCATCTGTATATCTGAGGTTATTGATATTTCTGCTGGCAGTCTTGATTCCAGCTTGTGCTTCATCCAGCCCAGCGTTTCTCTTGAAGTACTCTGCATATAAGTTAAGCAGTTAATATATAATATAAGCACTTGGAGCTCTAGTGCTTGCTTAACTCTTGAAGTTGGAGAAATGAAGGCTGGGAGAAGGGTGGATCTATCCTGAGCATTTGGAGCTTTACGGCTCCTTCTTGACTCTGCTATCACAGGGATGTGGAGTCTCGGGGAGGGGAGGTCTTGCCGAGGGTACATAGAGCCCACATTGTCAAACTTGTTCATTTTTGCCAGTCTGGTGGAAATGAAATATGGTATCTTGTGGTTTTAATTGAGTTTCCCCTTTTTACTCTAAAAATTCCAAAATTCTATGTCTTTTAAACATCAAACTTAGTCATATAACTACCACTAACTTCTGTGTTAAACCCCACAATCATGTGGGTTTTATTCATCATCTCTTTCATGTACCCTGGATTTCCTGATTCAGCAAGTGAAACTTCTACTGTAGTGGCTCCTGACAGTAGACCCGCAGGGAAATCTGCTGTACCCTGTGTTGCCACCACAAAGGTCAGAAATCCTATTTTGTGTTCATTCTTGCGTGAGGGGCTAGATTGATAGCCTTCACACATTGTCACCTAACCTCATAAAACACATCAGTGTATCGACTCTGATTCTATCTCACCCCATCTAGAGTCTCCACCAAAATATTCACTCCATGTTGCAGCCCTGTCAGAGGTGGCTCTTCAGTTATCTTTTAAAGTTTTCATTTTAAAATCTAAGAATCACAGCTACTATTGATAGTCTGTAAGGAAAATGATTTGGCTGATCACAGCTAAGGATTGCCTCTGCTTTTCAGGCTATATCTTTATACAGTTTTAACCCTGTGTAAATGGGACACCCATCTTCCCCAGTGTTCCTTAGTGCTTTCACAGAATCAGGCCTCAGAATTCACAAAAGAGTTGCTGGAGAAAGGCAGGCTGTATGTTGTATTCTGATTGTCTGTGGCGTACTCTAGGTGGCTCTGTAGTTGTTCAGTACATCTTATTCTACCCCACCTTGTTTACTTGCTACATTTAAATGTCATGAAGGAGTACAAAGATGGTGAAAGTGCCTGTAAATCCCAACTGATTTACTATATATGTCCCAAGAATAGTTCAGGACTTTGCCTTAATTGGCTTAAACTTAAATTCGTATAAGCCTGTAAAGACGGATATGGGCAGTGAGGCATGTCCCTTGTGGTTTCTTTTCCAGCCTTCAAAAGGATTTCATCCAACTTTCTATGGATAGTTATTTCTAATAATTTTGTAAGGTTTTCCTTGCATTGAAGTCTGTTTTAGAAGGCTGTAAGCATTGTTAACATTATCCCACCCATTATGGTAATACTATATATGGCACCCATTTCATGGAAGACAGATAAAAGAAATCTCAAAGTTTTACCATGTATATGATTATACAGACTGTAGTATTCCCAAAGTGCAAAAGGAGTAGGAAAAATAAATACATAGTCCTAAAAAATAAATGAGACTAGTACAAATCTTAAATGAACCAAAATCTTCCCTGTTGCCCAGTTGAGCATAAGAATAATTCCCAACAGATAAATTGGTTTGAATCCATATAAAGTTGTCATGGGGAATCCCATGAGACAATTCTTTTGCACCTTGACTGACCCAAATGATTTCCAAATGCATGTTTCTAATGATATTGTGAGCAACTCAAAGCCCATATGAGTTGTCTGAAGTTTTATTATTTACAGGTATGTGAAGCATTCCCAGAACCGTTCAACCAACTCAACAGCAGCTACTTCCCTGTGACTGGGTCCTGATTAAGGTCCTCCCAAGAAAGACTTCATTGGATCCACGCTCAAGAGGACACTGCCAAGTTTTCCTGACCCCTCTACATCACTATAAAGCGCTAAGGCCTTAAGACTTGGTTACTTGTATTACAACGGCAAGAGTGCCAGCACCCACCAAAGACTCATTGGACTGTCAGCTTCTGTTTCACCAAACAGACATAATAACTTACCAGCAAAGCAGAGTAAGCCAAGTGCCTCTGCACATACCACCAGCTGATAACACACAAGAAAAAGTAACTTAGACTAGAACCTTGTCTTTTCTTAAGAAGCTGAGATTTAAAGGAGCTCTTGTGACATCTGTGCTGCTAGTAGTGACTGATAACATAGACTGGATCAGTCCCTGAGTTTGGAGACTGGCTACAAGTGAGCGAAAAATAGACAGAGAAATCTTGAAGAATTGCACGGAGGTGCAAGCCAAATTTTATCCTCTCCAAGTAATGGTGGTTGGACTGAGAAAGTGCTAAACCAAAACTGTAATAGGTTTGGTTACTTGGGTGTCTCTCTGTATTATCATTGTTGCCTCTTACTGTTACATTTGCTGTCTGTGTTGTCTCTCCAGATCCCAATGTTTTCAGATAATTCACATTGCCCTGACTGTGGGCAGCAGTGGTTCCCTAGTTTAGAACTAGGCCATTGGTTGTACCAAACTGAACTGGTTGAGAATGAATGTTACCAAGTCTTCTTAGACCGTATTAACAGAGCTGATTATTGCCCTGAGTGTTACCCTGATAATCCTGCTAATAGAAGCCTTGTTCTTCCTTGGTCTTTCCCACTTGAGTGGGCTCCTCAAAATCTTACCAGGTGGACCTTTGAAAAAGCTTGCCACCCATTTCTTCTGGGTCCTCCACTGGTTAGAAAAAGAATACATGACTCTAGAGTTGCTGGTTTTAACCCTGCATTACAGTTAATCCTGACAAGGACAGACAAAACCTTAAACAAAAAACTTGGCCAAAGCAAGTAACTTCTTTAAACAGTCAAGATCATGGAGACTCTAGAGGGTTTTGTACTAGTAGCCCAAGGAAGATGGAAAAATGACTCCTTTCTTAATCTGATCCAGACTGTCACTGCTTTGGGAAACTGCTTAAATTGTTGGATCTGCTTCCAGGGTCTATGCATCTCTTGTTCAGCATAAATTTAATTATTAGTCCAAGCCAGACTGTTCCTCTGGAACCTGACTAATCCATATTTCCTATGTTTTGGAATTAGCTTGCTCCTCCTAAAAATCTCCACAGCCTAATCATTGACGTTATTATGACAAGATAGTCCTGGAGGAGAAGCCTTATACTGTGTGTACTTTAATTCTAGTAATAACTTTTGTGGGAAAGCATCCTTGTAGCTGAATTCTAGATTATTCCAGTAAAACAATTAGACATTTAATAAGAATCTATATTCTCAATTCCACCTCTTATATATTAATCAGTGATAATTATATATATATATAAGATTTATTCATATCTAACCAAATATTCATCGTTGACTCTATTTGGTTTATTCTCAGTGTGGCTTTGACCTTCCTTATTAACTGGTCACTGTCAGAGAAACCACATTCAATCAGGCAATACCTGTATAGGTTACAGAATAATATGCAGAAATGCCACTATCTAGTTACTTGGCTCTACATAAGCAAAGACTATCCTGTCTTTGTGGTGACTGAACTTAGAATGTCCTCCTCTGGAAATGGAAAAGTACCTGTATTAGGAGCTAGGTGACAGAAGGAGTTATCAAACTTGACTCCATATAGATTATGAACAGTTTAGGGGAAGCATTTTTCTTAGAACTAAAAAGGACTTAACTGACATTGGCCTCATTCTGGCCTTCACTTGTTCATAAGAATCATGGAACCAGAGTTTGAGTTAAGAAACTTGGAAAAAGCAGCTGAAAACATCTCAGAGTCCACTTAACAATTTAAAAATTCCACTTAAGATGCTAAATAATCCATTGCTTATGTAGCAACTCAACAATGGTCTCAAGGTCCCAGGTTCTTTCTGTCTTTCCCCTCTGGGATCCTTATTGTATTGGCTTTTTGTCCTCATAGTTGTTTTCTCAGTGAGTACAATGTAGCTTGTTGCTGCTCCAGACATTTCAATCTCTCTCAGACTGGAAGTAGGGAGCAAAAACTTTGTTCTTTCAAGTCTCTATTTTTTATTTGGGAAGAAAATCTCTCTCTCAAAAGTCCCTCAGATTTTTCCTTGCATTAATTACATCAGGGATTTTCCCTTACATCCTTGATTCAGAAGGGGGCCTGGGAAACCTGACAGAGGGGAATGGAGTTGACATTGCCTGGGTAGGACACGTTGTCTCCCCTAATAAAATCAGGGCTCTTTGAGGAAGAAGTGAGGGATGAATGGCTGTTGGTATGCAGCAAATCATGCCTGCCACATGTTGTTTAAAGTCATTTGTTAGTCTGTATAAAGAATGTACCCCAGAGATCTACCCTGTATCTTCCTTATGTCTGTCATGATTGACGTTCTCTTTTGTTCTATTGCTGAATAAATTGTGTGTGGACTGCTATACTGAGTGAAGACTAATTAGTTTATTAATCAATCCTTGTTTAAGAACTACACTATCCTAAAGCTTTATCTAAAAAGTGAAAATTTACTTTGAGGTATTGCTTTTGAGGATGGTATTATAGTCAATATTACTGTCTCCTAAACTTTCTCAGACATACACCAAAAAACACTACTTATGTTCACTTCAGGAGAATAGAGAAAGTTTCTTTTGTTTTTGTTTTAACCAATCTCATTCTTAAATAGTAGGACATTAAATGGATTTATACAGTTGAGTTTCAAGTCAGTGCCTGGGTTAGCTTGTCAAAAATGCAGATTTCCTGATCTTACAGAAATTTTGATTTCCAAGGTTTCTTATGGGGCCCAGGAATCTACATTTTATAAATAGTGCCTCAGAAGATTCTTATGCAGATGCTCTATGAACCATACCTTGAAAAATACCATAGCAGCATATCCATCATATTTAGTTACCTAGCTTAAAAGACTAGGAATCAAGAGTACTCATAACACTATAAGATGGTCGTAGTTATTGTACTTTGCCAGTGACATATAAAGAGGTTTCATAGCAGCCTGAAGGACTCTGCTGATATTTCAGGTCATAATTCAGTCACATTTTTCTCAACTGTTTGTGGGGAGGGCTCTATTGCAGCCCTTAAACAGTCCTGTAGGGTGTCATTATAAACTTTGTGAGTATATGGGCAAGAGAAAGGAATCAAAAATGCTAATTTTAATACTACATTAAGAAGGGTACTTTGCCTTCATACATGATTATTACCACATACCTGATATGGTCAGCTCTCAGAAATAACATCATGTGGTAGAGGTCATAAAATGGAGCAGGGGAGAAAATTTAGAAAACTGCATAGCTTTTCAACTTAGGTCTTTAGTAGGACTTCACTGGTTTAAAACATTGCAGACTATTCTAAAATACTCATTCATGGTTATGAATAATGAATTTGAAAGTATAAGTGTATTCCTAAAATTAATTCTTAACACAGATGATCCACTGTTTTGGATGATGTGAGCCATATTAAGCTCCACTTCCATCCTCTGGGAGAGTTGATAATATTACTTATATGTAATGGTGGCCATTTCTTAAATGACTTCCAGAAATACTTTCTTTTACTTTAATGCAGACCTAGGAGTAGAAATTTAATGGAAAGTATCTACTAAAGAGAAGGCTGTCTTGGATTGTGGGTGACTGAGTTAAGATTCATCTCTTAAGTTGTAGGAGAACATAGTCCAGGCAAGCACACATGCAAGAAAGAATTCCATGACATTCAAAGACTAGGTGGCAGTCATAATACACGTGTCTGTAAAAGTGAGTTGAGAGCCATACCCCTCTGGAGTCTCCCCTGGCAGCCCTTGAGTCTCAATGCAGTCTTCGTAACACAGTTTGAAAACTGCTTGTTATAGAGGAAAAATAATGGCCTTGCAGCCAGCTGACCTCAGTTTGTCTTCTAATTCTGACATTAAATGAGCTTGGGCATTTTAACCTTTCTCTGTCCAGTTCCATTTATGAAATAAGTTTTGTAATAATACCTTCTTCATACTGTTGTGAAGTTTAAATGTGATACATGTCTATCAGTCAGCACCACAGTAAATCTTTAGGATGAAGAGAGGTATAAGAGAATGAGGCAAAAGTTAGAACTACGGATAAGATAGAGTCTCAGTTTTAGAATAAGGATTAAGGCAAACTGTTAGAACTTGATGCTAAATTATCAAAAATTTCTTAAGTCTTTTCTGATGAAGGACAAGATTTGTCTTGTAACTGAGGTCAAGCCTGTAGTCGTGTGAATCACATGGTCTGAGATGAAGATTAAGAGGCTTAAAAGGATGAATGACCCAAGGCAGATCCTTGTCACCTCTTTTTAGGCCCATTTATAATCATAATTGTGATAGATGTAACTGATCTATTTTATGATTTATTATCACCTGAGACTTTAACACAATGCTGAAAAAAGCAATTAGAGAAAAGTTGAATGTGTGAATTTACCCAGGTCATATGTGCTAGAGTCACAATTCAAACCTAGATTTGGAGTGCCTTGTAGTAGTATGTTTACTGTGTGGTTTTATTATTGTTGTTTTGTTGTTTTAGTATCAACAGTGGCTTTAGTTAACAGCTAGGGTCCCACAGTCAGGATACCTGAGTTCAGATCCTAACTCTGCGTCTACTAGTTGTGTGTTCTTGGGTAAGATTCTTAACCTTTCTCTGTCTCAATTTCCTCGTCTGTAAAATAGAAGGAATGTTAAGTCCATACATCATAAGACTGAAGTTTCCAGGATGGAATAGAGGTTAGGTAAGGTCCTACTGCTCCCCCAGCCCCAATTTATTCTTGAGAGTAGCTTTCCTTTGTCCTGTCTCCTCTCAGCTGATTGTGACAAAATGCATAGGAAACTGTTGTTGAAGTGTGCCTTTGTAACATAAGTTCATTTTGTGTGGGCTCAGAGTTTAACCCTTACAGGTTTTTCATTTTGATTCTTAACTTTTCCTCACAGAAGCTAATACATTACATTTTATTACTCATTTAAAACATTTATTAACATTAATCATATAGAAAAGTGCTGAAAATAGTGTTCACCTATGCACCCAGATCTAAAATACATTAACATAGGAAAGATGTCCTGTGCTCTTGGATTGGAAGAATTAATATTGTTAAAATGGCCATACTACCCAAAGCAGTCTACAAGTGTAATGTGATCCTTATCAAATTACCCATGGCATTTTTCACCAAAATAGAAAAATAATCCTAAACTTTATATGGAACCATAAAAGACCCAGAATTGCCAAAACAATCCTAAGGAAAAAGAACAAAGGAGAAGGCATAACCCTCCCAGACTTCAGGCAATACTACAAAGCTACAGCAATCAAAATGGCGTGATATTAGCACAAAAACAGACATACATGGGTCAGTAGAACAGAATAGAGAGCCCAAAATTAAACCCCCACACCTATAATCAGTCTTCAACACAGGAGGCCAAAAATATACAATGGGAAAAAGACAGTCTCTTCTGCAGGTGATTTTGGAAAAGTTGGACAGCCACAGGTAAATCTATGAAGTTGAAACACTCTCATACCATACAGAAAAGTAAATTCAAAATGTCTTAAAGACTTAAACATAAGACATGAAACCATAAAACTACTAGAAGAGAACATAGGCAAAACATCTGACATAAATCATACCAATATTTTCTTAGGTCTGTCTCCCAAGGCAATAGAAATAAAAACAAAAATAAGTGGGACCTAATTAAACTTACGAGCTTTTGCACAGCAAAAGAAACTGTAAACAAAAAGACAACCTACAGACTTGGAGAAAATATTTGCAAATGATGCAACTGACAAAGTCTTAATTTCCAAAATATACGAATAGCTGATACAATTCAACAACAAAAAAACAACCCAATTGAAAAATGCGCAATTTTCATACAATAGTAGGATACAAATTCTATTCAA